AGACCAGACTTCCGCCTACCCCTGGACGCCCCCTCCCTGTTCCCTCCCTCCCCCCCTCCCCCAGCCTGGATCGGGGTAGGAGGGAGGGGGGGGTGTGCGCCCTGCGCCGTCCCCGCCCCCCGTGATTCCCCCTGCATGGCCGGCCCGGGTAGGGGGTACGGGGGCCCCGGGAGCCATGCGGGGGGGGCACAAGGGGGGTCGCTGTGCCTGTCCCCATATGATCCGAAAAGTGCTGGCAAAATGTGGCTGCTGCATCGCCCAGGGGGGACGTGGTGAGTGCGAGGTCGCCAGGGCTTAGCGTTGAATGGGGGGCGGGCTGAGGTTCAGGACTTATGTTCGCCCTCGTCCTACGGATTTAGAAGCTGGAGATGGACTGTAACTGTGTTTTCCAGGAAAATGACTTAATAGATGATCTCTAAGATCCCTTTGCCTCCAAATTTCTGTCAGTTGAAGTTAAGGAAATTGGGGAAGGGGCAGGATACCCTTCTATCTTTCCTGTAGTCAACTGGGTAGGAGAAAAACCCATCTACAATACCCTTAGGCCTAGAATTGCATCTTCCCTCAAATTCTTTTGCTGAGAATCGACTTCAGCTCTGAAGAGAGATGGAGCACGGAGAAATGAGGAATGAGGGGGATCTGCGGGGGGCTTTCTCAAAAATCACAGCTCCTCTGTCCGGAAAACCCGGGCCAAGGATAACCCTGACGAGCTCTCCTTACTTGCCCCCTCTATTGGGTTTGTGCATGTTGGGAAGGAGGGCTGCAGAAGTCTTTTCTTTTTATAGTGATTACTGCAATTGGTGGAGGAGGGGTCTGGGGGTGGCAGATGGGCTCTTAGCTCTTGACCCCCCCTTCTCAGAGAATGGTCTGTACCCACTGGAAGGGGAGGATGGTAGGAGAGCAGATGGCCACCCCCAGCTTCCAGTGTCTGCCCAGATGGCTGCCCCCACCCCCATATCTGTGCCATACTCAGGATATGGGGGAACCTCCACATGTTACTGAGGGTTCCAGGCCTGAGGAGCCAGGTGTTTACTGCCTTTCCTCCCTAGGGTGCCCTGGTGAAGTTATCTATCCTGGCCAACTCAAAAGAGGATGTCAAGAGAGTGAGCCCTGGGGGAGAGGGACTGATTATCAGAGAGAGGAGACTCTGGGAGCTTCCTAGAGACTCTGAGTCTCTAGAACAATATCTGTCACCCGCTTTCTTCCTCCCCACTCCATTAGAATCCTATTCCATTGCCGGCAGTGAGGGGAGTATCTCGGCTTCAGCTGCCTCAGGTCTGGCGGCCCCCTCTGGCCCCAGCTCTGGCCTTAGCTCTGGCCCCTGTTCCCCGGGCCCCCCAGGGCCGGTCAGTGGCCTGAGAAGATGGTTGGATCACTCTAAACATTGTCTCAATGTGGAAACTGAGGCAGATGGTGGCCAGGCTGGATCATATGAGGTGAGCAGGGAGCACCACAGAAGCATATAGGACATCCATAAAGGACGATGGGAAAGAGGGCAGGTTGGGGTCTACTGGCCATTGAGGAGACACAGCTACTGTCCCTGACCTCTGACACTTGACCTCTGGCCCCCAGAACTGGATTCTAAAACCAGCTCTAGCCACAGGAGAGGAGCTGCCGGAATTGACCCTGCTGACCACCCTGTTGGAGGGCCCTGGAGATAAGACAAAGGTATGTAGTAAGGGGTCTGGGATGGCTCCTCTTCTCCAAGAGGCATCCATTTACTTATTCAAGGATGTTATTTCCTTTTAGCCACCTGAGGAGGAGAATTTGTCCCAAGCCCCCCAGAGTGAGGAGGAACAGAAAAAGAAGGCTCTGGAAAGGAGTATGTAAGTGTCCACACACTCTCCCTTCCCTCCCCTTAACTCCCCGGCTCCACACTATACAACTTCCAGAGGCCCGTCCCTCACATTTTAGATTTGAGACTTGGAATTTCCTCTGAGGTTGGCTGTGGTAATGAAGGGGCTTCTAGTCCAGGAGGGAGGAAGTGGCTAAACCAAGAATGTACACTCCTGCTTTCTTCCCAGGTATGTCCTCGGTGAACTGGTAGAGACAGAGAAAATGTATGTGGACGACTTGGGGCAGATTGTGGAGGTAGCTCCCTTTATCTTTCCCAGATCTGGTGCAGCCCTTTCCCTCTGCCCAGGGCTAATTTTAAGAGATCTCTTGATGATACTCCTCTGGCCCACCTTCCCAGTCCCCGCTACATCTTACATCTGGATTTCTTGGGGATGGGAGATTCCCACAGGGCTGACCCCACAACATCCTTGCTCCCACTCCAACCTTCCCACAGGGTTACATGGCCACCATGGCTGCTCAGGGGGTCCCCGAGAGTCTTCGAGGCCGTGACAGGATTGTGTTTGGGAACATCCAGCAAATCTACGAGTGGCATCGAGAGTGAGTGGTAGAGCCCTGAGAGCAAGGGGGAGGGGCATATGTCTGGTTGTCTGTGTCCCACGCATGGGCCTATTGTTGCCCGAGGAATGTTTGGAGAGGCTTCTTGGGGAGCACCACAAGGGCGGACAGCCCAAGTTGCAGGTACTTGATCTACCTTTTCCCTGCCAACATCTCCAGCTATTTCTTGGGGGAGCTACAGCAGTGTTTGAAGGATCCTGATTGGCTGGCTCAACTATTCATCAAACATGTGAGGCTTGAGAGGGTGTGATGGTGGGGGCCTTGAGAGTGGGTGGGGCTCTCCTGACTACTCTCCCTGCTCACTCACTCTGCTCTCTCCTAAACTTTACCCCTGTTAGGAGCGCCGGCTGCATATGTATGTGGTATATTGTCAGAATAAGCCCAAATCAGAGCACGTGGTGTCAGAATTTGGGGACAACTACTTTGAGGTCAGTGGCTAAGATGCCTTGGGGAAAGAGGGACAGAATCCTCAGGAGCAGGCTTTCCAGATGGCATTACCACCCTGTCCCTGTCCCTAGGAGCTCCGTCAGCAGCTAGGGCACCGCCTGCAGCTCAATGACCTCCTCATCAAACCAGTGCAGAGGATCATGAAATACCAGCTGCTGCTTAAGGTCAGGACCACCTGTTCCCTGGGTGCACAGCTGGTTGGGATAGCCCTTTCCTCATTCATCTCCCCAGGGTTCCTAAGGCTTCCCCCAGACTTCCTGGGATTCTTCGCCTGTGTTTTTGGGGAAGGATGTGAGAGCTTCCGAAGATATCCTCATAACTACTTTGAGCATTTCTTTTCTGCACCTTAGGATTTTCTCAAGTATTATAGTAGAGCTGGGATGGATACTGAAGAGCTGGAGGTGAGGATTTTCAGGTCTTCCAGGACACACACACACACGCACACGCACACGCACACACGATGCACACCTTATCTTCGTAGTCTCTTGGATTGCCCCAGCTCCTTGGGCGTTGTAGAGCTGTCTGATCATTAGGAGGAGGCTGGGCGGAGGTCGAAGCATGGTCTTAAGAGGCCCCTTTCCCAACAATGACAATGCTCCTCTCTTCACCTTTGTCTCAGCGAGCTGTGGAAGTCATGTGCTTCGTGCCCAAGCGCTGCGATGATATGATGACTCTGGGGAGGCTGCGGGGGTTTGAGGTATGGGAATGGAGTAGGAAACGAAAGACCCAGTACTCTTCTGCCCCAGTCTGAATACTCAGGAGCTCCTTATGGGGAATTGTCTCTCCTGGTACTGACTCCGTGGTTGGTTGGGAGTGTCAGGGGAAGGAGGGAGGAGCAGAGTGTTGCCCCTTTTCTCTTCTTGTTTTGTCTCTAAGGCCACTATCCTTTGGTTCTAGGGCAAACTGACTGCTCAGGGGAAGCTCTTGGGCCAGGACACATTCTGGGTCACAGAGCCTGAGGCTGGGGGGCTTCTTTCTTCCCGGGGTCGAGAGCGGCGTGTCTTCCTCTTTGAGCAAATCGTTATCTTCAGTGAGGCCCTGGGAGGAGGAGTACGAGGTGGAACACAGCCTGGATATGTGTACAAGAGCAGCATCAAGGTGGGGAGGAGGCTAAGAGGGAGGGGTCTGACTGGGATGGAGTGCAGCCTCTGAGAGGATATCTGGCTCTTGGATATGTTGGGGGAGGGCAGGAACCAGAGAGGGCTTGAAGAATTTGGGAGCACTATCTCCTATTTGCCAATCCAGGTGAGCTGCCTCGGACTGGAGGGGAACCTCCAAGGTGACCCTTGCCGCTTTGCTCTGACCTCCAGAGGGCCAGAGGGTGGGATCCAGCGCTATGTTCTTCAGACTGCAGACCCTGCAGTCAGTCAGGCCTGGATCAAGCAAGTGGCTCAGATCCTGGAAAGCCAGCGGGACTTCCTCAATGGTGAAGCTCTTACCCTCCCTCCACCACATGCTCCCTCAGTCCTCTGATCTCCTGAATCCTTCACTGCCCAATGTCCCAATCCTGCCTTCTAACCCTGGCTTCTCCTTGTCCCCCCATCCCCACTTTTCCACTACTAGCTCAAGATTTGGTAACTCAGAATCCCTTAAGAGCCAGTTTACATGGATGACAGTCCTTTGAGGAAGGGCAGAATGGAAGGATGGCCGGACCAGAGCTCAGAGAGAAAGGACCTGTCACTTTTGTAACCCTCCTTCTGTTCTCTTTATCCCAGCACTGCAGTCACCCATTGAGTACCAGAGAAGGGAGAGCCAGACCAACAGCCTGGGAAGGCCAGGAGTGTCTGGGGTGGGAAGCCCTGGGAGAATTCGGCCTGGACACCGGGCCCAGGTCGGCACACACACACCCATCAATGGCTCTCTCCCCTCCCTACTGATGTTACCCAAAGGGGAGGTGACCAGAGCCCCCCTGCCCCTGGACACACAGGTATGAAGAATGGTGTTCCTTGGTTGTAGGGGTAGAATGGAGAGGGCCTCTCTTATTCCAGGATCCCTAAATCGCTCTCCCCCATACCATTCCTCTCTTCTACCACCTTCCTTTTGTCTTCCTTTTTCTACTTCCTATCTCTTACCCTCCCCGCTCCACTTTAATTGATGGTCTCAGATGATCTAAGATAGCTAGAAGGAGGTGGCTTTGCTGGGGGCTTACACTTAGAGAGGAGTGAAGGTGGATTCCTGAACTTTTTTGATCCTCCAACTTAAGTCTTTCTTCAGGTCCTCAGTGACATACCCCAGACTTCTCGTGACTCTCCTCCAGTTCCACCAATTCCAAACACCCCTCCCTGCCAGGCCAGACTTGCCAAATTGGATGAAGATGAGCTGTAACTGATGAAGGCTATGGGGGTGGTGCTGACTCAGCCACTCTCTTTCCCAAGGAACTTCAGGGCAATTCTGGCACTGCCCCGGACTTCCTCCCTCTTGGTGTGTGTGGAGGGTGGGCAAGGCTGGGATTGGTGTCAATTTGGAGGAGGGTACCTAGATTCAGAAGGACTTCTATCTGTACCGGGAGGTTCCTGCAGCTCCCACCCTTATGCATGCATCACAGGTCCCCCCAAAAGGAGGATATGTGGGTGGGTGGGTAAGGGCCAGATAGAAATCATTGGTTTTGTTTTTGATTTTGTTTTTTCTGTTTTCTGAGAATAAAGGTTTTGTTATATCACTGAGGCTGCTGTCTTGGCAGAGGGAAGGGTTGGCTGTGGTAGGGGTAAGTGAGATGAAGTGGTATGTAAGAGATCAGCTGGCCCCTCAAATCAGTTTGAGGAGTGATCTGGTGAAAGGAGAAGGGCACAGGGTGTAAGATAAAAGATATTGTTACCTCTATTTCTAGTCTGCAGTTGTAGCATCTCTCAGTCCAGACCTGGGGCTTGGAGCTAAGGGCAAACCCTAGACCCCTGATGTATCCTCCCCTTTACTCAGCCCTATCTGGCCTCTGTTCTAGACCCCATTGATGACTTCGCATCATTCCCCCACACCAAAAAAGCCCAATGTACCTTTCCTTCTGAGGCCTCCATGTTCAGCTGAGGGAGAATGAGGAGGTGGAGAGGATGCTGGGAGCTGCGACCCCTTCTGACTCTGGGTCTCCTCATTTTTGCTCTTTGAGAGATCATAAGGCGTATCCATACTGAGAAGGAATGGATTCTTCAAGCCACAGACCCAAGAATGGAGAGGTCAAAGGAGTCTTCACCCCTCCCAACATTTGAGACAGCCCCTAGGACAGGGAGCCAAAGGTGCAGAGATCCATGTCCAGATGCCCTGTCCTGGGTCCTTGGACATCAGTGTGTCCACTGTGTCCAATTGTCCCCTGGGCCTGGTCACGAGTACTTGGGCTTCCTCAGCAGACAATAGACTGCTGGGGTGGGGGGTTAAGGAGGAGCTGGAGCCTCCCTGTGGACCTGAGGTCCCTCTGGCTGACAATGGGGGGAGGGACCTCCAAGGGGGGGAGACAGGACGTACTGCTCAGATAAGACTTCTGGGGAACAATAGGAGGAATTGAAGAGGGGAGACCCACCCTCACTGTACCCCACACCCAGGGCTTTGGGGTCAGGGACTAAGGACCAGGGGGTGATAAGGAGAGATGCTGAGGATTCTTGTGAATGGAGGAGGAGATGGCAAAAATAGCAGGATTCTGGAGCTCAGAACCTTTATATCTCTTTAGGGACCATGGGGGAACATGAGGTGGGTGGGTGGTGACCCTTTTGTATTTAATTTAACCACAAATGTGCTTTCAGGTGCCTACTTTGTAAATTGCACTTGAATTCAATAAATGGTGCTTCAGATTTTTTGCTTCTAAGAAATAAAAAAACAATTTCTCATTAGTACAGCATTGCACACGAAGCCCTGAACTGAGGATTTAGACCCAGCCTCTCCCTGCAGAAATGGGGGGTGATGCTATCATCTCTTCAATACACGTAGCTGCTTCCCATCTCAGTGGTTTGTGAAGCTGCTGAGGCCAACAGACCCCACCCCCTTACACTTTCTTGAGGGCGACCTGTGCCCCAACAGGATTTGGGTCTGAGGGGAGGAGGGCTGGAGTCGAAACCGCGCTGAACTTTCTTCCTCAGGCAGGGAAGGGAGAAGCTCTGGGGATGACTTGTAACCCTAGAGGAGCCAGCTTCTGTCTTGGGCCAAAGTGCAGATTCGAAAAGAACCCGGAGTGAAGAGGCACAGAGTGAAAAGGCTTAGGAGTGGTAAATAGTGGGGGTTGAGTGTTGAGGGTGCACTTGTCTTTTAGCCTCTCTGGTCACTACACCTTTCCACAGCCCCCTCCCACCCTCCATCCGCTCAAAGCAGACTCCAGAGCGTGCGATCTCTTAAAGGATGACTGAGGAAACGCCTAACATAGAGACGCCCCCTCCCCAAGCAGTGATTTTCTCCTACCGGTAGAAAGTCCGCAAGAGAAGGCGCCCTCCAGGGCGGGATTGGACCCTGCTTAAAGGAGGCGGGACTCAAGGCTAGCCGGTTGAGGGATATTTAAGACTGGGCGGAGTTGGCGGTGGCCAAGGGCAAAATGAGTGGGCTACTAGGCGCCAGGAGCTGCTTAAGTCCTGTAGAAGCCTCCGACCTTAAGTCCCCCTTGGGCGCCAAGATCAGAGAACCTCTCACCGAGGCCCGGTTCCAGCAGCTCTTCGGGGGCCCGGAGCAGGAGACGGAGCTACTCGCGAAGCCCCGCTGGTCCCGCCTGTGCAGTCCGCAGAGGCGGCGGGCCTGTTCCGGACCGGGGGCGTGGCGCCTGCTGCTGGCTCGGCTGCCCCCGCTACGCTGGCTGCCCCGCTACCGCTGGCGGGCCTGGCTGCTTGGGGATGCAGTGGCTGGAGTGACCGTGGGTATCGTGCACGTGCCCCAGGGTGAGCGGCCCCAACAGCAGCCTGTGAGGGGCCCAAGTTCTTGAGGGTTTCGAGGAGGCCTGGAGGGCTGGGAACCTGGGATCGAGGTGGTGGGTTAGTGTGGCTGAGGGTTCAGAGACAAAGACTAGAGACCAAGTTCTGGGTAAGGATTATGGTGCCCCATTAGATTCCCACCCCCAGTTTCCCTCATCTGTGTAATCCTTCGAGAAGTGTTGGACACGTTCTGGCTCAGAGAACTGGAGAGAGGCACAACACCTGCCCCCAGGACTCAGGCCGACACGGATCCGTGACCTTGTACACCCAGCAACCTCCCATCAGACCCGTTAACCCCTCAGTTCCCTCATGTGGCAAGGTTTAGAGCCCCTGTGCCAGCCTCTAAGTGTGAGGGAAAAGGACAGCATCCTGGAGGCCAGGCACCCTCTATTTTCCCCACCAACTGCAGATCTTGCCTTCCGCTTCTCCCCCAGGCATGGCATTTGCTCTCCTGACCTCAGTACCCCCCGTGTTTGGACTCTACACTTCTTTCTTTCCTGTCCTCATCTACACCTTGTTGGGTACTGGGAGACACTTGTCCACAGGTGAGTGACCCAGTGACTCCTCTCCTTCTCTGTGGGGTGAAAATGTGGGGTTTGAGGCTTCTGTTCTTGAAGGCCCCCTAGCTCTTATTTCCCTCCTCACCACTCCACCCCACTGCTACCTCGCCACGACTCTCTGACCTAGGCAATGCTTGTTGACGGTACTGGTGGGTGCAGAGGTGGGCGTTTACTCAGACTATTTCTCCCCATGAAATTTTGGTTAAAACGAACATCTCTGGGACTTGGAAGAAGGGAGAAGAGATGCATGGTCACCCAAAGGCGCACACAGTCCGTGGGGCGTCTGCAGGAGGGGGCAGTGAAGCAGTTTGGAAGAAATTTTGCGAGCTGGTGCCCTCTCCTAACCTCCCTCACCACAGGTTCCGGGTTGCTGCACTGGCTCTTGGCCCCGAGGTCTTCACCTGAGCAGCTGCCTTCTAGGGGAACGGTTTCTGATGGCAGCAGCCCAGGACGAGAGCGCAGAGCCTGGGCTGTCGCAGCGCCCCAGGCGGCACAGCTGATGATCTCTGCATTTGTCACCCCCACCCGCGCTATAGGAACGTTTGCCGTTCTCAGTCTCATGACGGGCTCGGCAGTGGAGCGGCTGGTGCCCGCACCCCTCGGGGGGAACATGAGCGGAATCGAGAGGGAACAGTTGGAAGCTCAGCGAGTTGGGGCGGCTGCAGCTGTGGCCTTCGGGAGCGGGGTGCTGATGGTGAGGGGAGATCCTCGGGGATCCACCCTGGGGGCCGGGGAGAATTGGGCCAGGAGAGAGGGTGGGACACGTCTCCCGCGCGGGCTTCAGCCGGAGAGGTGCGCGGAGAATCAGGCGCATTGCACTCTGGCTGCTCAGCTCCTCCTCCTGTGGTGACTGCGCATCTTCTCCCCCGCAGCTGGGGATGTTCGCGCTGCAGCTCGGCGTCCTGGCCACCTTTTTGTCCGAGCCTGTGGTTAAAGCGCTGACCAGTGGGGCCGCGCTGCACGTGCTCGTGTCTCAACTGCCAAGCCTTTTGGGGTTGCCCCTCCCGCGGCAGATCGGCTGCTTCGCTCTCTTCAAGGTGGGGGTGGGAGAACAGTAGAGACGAGGCTTCTAGCGGTCCTGGGAAGAGGGCAACCCGAAAAGGAAGGAAGGACGAGTGGAGGGATAGTGTGTGACGGGGACAGAGCAAAGGAGGTTAGAACCAAGAGGCTTGAATTAAGGTCGCTGTGGAGGTGGAAGCCCTGAAGGGTGCCGGTAGAGAGGGCACCCTTGCCTGGGTTTGGTGGATCCATACTGGGGACGGTCGTTCCTGGCACCTGGCCCTCTGCTCACCGCACCTGCCTGCAGACGCTGGCTGCTGTGCTGACTGCGCTGCCCCGGAGCAGTCCAGCAGAACTGACCATCTCAGCACTCAGCCTGGCGCTTCTCGTGCCAGTCAAGGAATTGAACGTGAGATTCCGAGACAGGCTACCCACCCCGATCCCAGGAGAAATCGTCATGGTGAGGATGACTCCAGGGTCCCCGCCCCTGCACAGCACAGACCCTGCCCATCCTGTAGGAACTGGTCGCTGCCGCCCTCTAGTGGAATGCACAGAGGTCACAGCCGAGAGGTCCTGCTTACGAGTGTGCTTTTTTCTAGGCCTCCTCCCAGAACACTTTGACCCTCCGGAATCCCCCACCCACACATTCCCTCTAGAGCCTCCTCCAGACCTCTTAGAATGCCTTCTTCCTCCTTACAGATCTCCCTTGCGGTATCGCTCGCCACAGCACCTCCACTCTCGTCTCCACACCCGGTCATTCACTGTAATTCACAGTTTATCTCCTTTCCCATGCCCACACAGATTTCTCTCTCTCCGCAACTAAATAAATATTCCACGTCTCCATAGATAGCCTAGATATCCCCAGACAGCAAAGCTTCCCTACTTAGAATGGCTCAGTTTTGCCTCCTGATACCCACATTCCTCATAAGAGTCCCCTCCTACTTCTCCCAAACATCTCTTTCCGTAGCCCTAGGTATGTATCATTCCTCTTTCCCATCCCCAATCTCCTTCACTCTAAATCAGTTGTCAGGCACCCATCCCAAAGACAGCCCAGCTTCCCCAGTTGCTAGGCTCCTGCAACCACTGAATCCTGCATTATGACCCTCTCCCATGTTGAGCCCTTTAGCCTCTCCCATGCCCTACCTAATATGCTCCTTTCCCAGGTGCTTCTGGCATCTGTGCTCTGCTTCACCTCTTCCCTGGACACAAGATATGACGTCCAGATAGTGGGGCTGCTGCCCGGAGGGTAAGAGAGAATGAAACACAGCTTTCCCCTCTCACGCTTTGCCCACCCAACACCTCCTTTTTCTCTATCTTCCCTATAAATCCTTGTTATACCCAACCCATTTCACCATGGACCCCTCTCTCTCCAGATTCCCCCAACCTCTCCTCCCCAACCTAGCTGAGCTGCCCAGGATTCTGGCTGACTCACTGCCCATTGCACTGGTTACTTTTGCTGTGTCCGCCTCCCTGGCCTCCATCTACGCAGACAAGTATAGCTACACTATTGACTCCAACCAGGTGTGACTCCAACTGAGGACCCCAATCTCATTCGGGAGACAGCCTCCCAATGTGACTTTCCCCATGCCTTTGTCTTTTTCCTCTTCATCTCACTGTACCCTCCAGGAGCTCTTGGCACATGGTGTCTCCAACCTCATCTCCTCCCTCTTCTCTTGCTTTCCCAACTCAGCCACATTGGCCACCACCAGCCTACTAGTGGACGCTGGTGGGAACACGCAGGTAAGAGTGCATGCTTGAGTGAGAAGAAACGGGGTAGGCATTCAGGTCAGAGTGGTGGAGGAGAAAGAGATGGCAGCTAGATAGAGGAGGCTGGGAACCTGTGAGGAGATGGGATTATCTAGGCAGGAGAGAGAGATGAGAACAAAGCTCCATGAAGACCTTTGTAGACTGTCAGCACTGAAAAAGTTTATGGTGCCCCATATGTAGTTCAAAATAAAAACAAAACTAAATTGTAAAATAAATTTAAGAGACAGAATTCTGAGATTTTTTTTTTCTCATGAGGACATTTTTGTTTAAAAAGAAATATATCAAAGTCTCCCCAAATATTTTTGGTTTCCTATATTTTGTTGGTGCCCTAAGCATGTGGTTGGCGTGCTTTTAGGGTAATCCAACAGTGGCTTTTAGGATGGAGGTGGTTACAAAAATAGACAAATTGAATTACGTCTTGGGGAGACTGATGAATGAGGCATCTAATTGGGGAAAGGGAAACGTTAGGTGTGAGTGGCAGAATATCAAGAAGCTTGTTGAGGAGTGAGGAATATCTGTGTGCAAGGGGATTTGGGAGGAGGGAGACTTCCAAGGAAGATGAGGTCAAATGAACAGGGAGACCAGTTCTCACACACGGGTGGGTAAGGTTCCCTTTCTTCTTTGCTTTCATCATTCCTTCCCTCTAGCTGGCAGGCTTCTTCTCCTGCATAGTTGTCCTGTCAGTGCTGCTATGGCTTGGGCCCTTCTTCTACTATCTGCCCAAGGTAAGGAGCAGAGGAAGTGTGGGGGTGGCTGGAAGGCGTGGCTATATTCCAGTATATCAGGGTGGTCAGTTCACCTTCTCTGCCCCAAGGCTGTCCTGGCCTGCATCAACATCTCCAGCATGCGCCAGATGTTCTTCCAGATGCAGGATCTTCCACAACTATGGCGTATCAGCCGCGTGGACTTCGTGAGAAATGGCAGCATTACCTCCAGACTGTCCCCTCCCATTTTCCCAGCATCCCCAACCTCTGTCCTAGATCAAAGCTAATTGTCCTGGTCCTAAGTTCTCCAACCCACCCACCTCCAACATGCATACCTCCTAACTGCTTTATATGGAGACAAAGTGAAGAGTGGGGTTTGAACCCCTCCAGATTTGAATGAATTTTAGTAACTCCCCAAGTGGCACAAGGTCTGGGGTCATTACATGTGGTATGTACCCCCCTGTTTAGTCAATCCTGTCCCTTCTACCATTCTTCCTACCTTCTCCTGGGCCATCACTCCCCATCACTTGCCCTGGCAGTCACTGCCCCTTTCCTTGGCAGTGATGGCCTTGCATTTCTTCTGGGCATTTCATTCCCATCCATGTCCTGCAGGCTGTGTGGATGGTCACATGGGTGGCTGTAGTGACCCTGAGTGTGGACTTGGGCCTGGCCGTAGGTGTGGTCTTCTCCATGATGACTGTGGTCTGCCGCACCCAGAGGTGGGAGTAGAGATCAAAGAAATTGAGATGGGGGTGGGGGATAACAGAGTGCTTGGGGCGACTCTCCAGCCAGGCCAGGCTGGAAATCTAACCCCAGCTTCCTGCCTAGGGTGCAGTGCCTGGCACTTGGACTGGCCGAGGGGACGGAGCTCTACAGGCCACTCAGAAAGAACCACAAGGTGGGTGGGCTATAGCCAAATGAAGGGAAGATTAGACCCAGATGTTTCTCTGATCATCTGACCCCTTAGCTCCTCCAGGTCCCAGGACTCTGCATCCTGAGCTATCCAACACCACTCTACTTTGGGACCCGTGGACAGTTTCGCCGTATCCTGGAGGGGCATTTGGGGCTTGGAGGAGGCAAGGTGAAGGACTTGGTCAAAGGAGATTGTGGCTTCAATGGGAGTGGGAGGCAGGTGGGTTTCTGAGGGGAATCATTGTGCTTAAGGGGTACATGTTCATGCTTGTATCTCAAAAGGGGTGACTGCCCTCTATTCACAGGAGACTCCAAAGACAGATGGCCCACCTGATTCAGGTGAGATGGGATGACAAGGAGGGAGATCTAGGCATGACCCATGGAGGCATCTGGATACTCCTGCCTTCTCCCATCTTAGTTGCTGAGCCTGTCAGAGTGGTGGTCCTGGACTGCAGTGGTGTCACCTTTGCAGATGCTGCTGGGGCCAGAGAAGTGGTACAGGTGAGGGAGAAGGTGGGTTGAGAGAAAGTCCCCTTATTGTCCCATGCAATACTCTCTGATGTTTAACCCTCCGTCCCACCTCTGCAGCTGGCCAGCCGATGCCAAGATGCTGGGATCCACCTTCTCCTGGCTCAGTGTAATGGTGAGAGGTGTGGAAGGGGGAGAGATGTGGAGACTGGGGAATGATCAGACACTTGGGGGAGGGAAGAGGACCTAAGTGCCTGACCCCCTTTCCACACAGCCTCAGTGCTGGAGACACTGACTCAGGCAGGACTCTTGGACAGACTGACCCCAGAACAGCTGTTTGTGAGCATCCAGGATGCAGCTGCTCATGCCTTGGAGAGACTGGTGAGGTGGCAGTAGCAATAGGAGCGGAAGTCAGGAGGTGCTAGGCTATGGCAAGTGAGGCATAAGTCAGTGGCTGAAGATCCAGGCAGAGGGATTTGGGAAGGAGGCTGAGAACATGAAGGCATGGGTGGGGAGGAAATGATTAGTTGACTTAAGACTAAGCCAGGGACCATGCACCCAGCTATGGGTGAAGAACTGAGTAAACTAAAGGTCCCAAAGTGGGCGGTCTGAAGACTGCCAAATCTTGAGTGAGGAAGGTGGGTACCTAATCCATTCCTGACATGTCCCCTCTTTTTTTTCCAGGAGCTCACTGGTCCAAAGACTTGCATAGTGTGGGTCTGACCCATTACTCGGAATATGGAGGGCCCCAACAATATGTGAGGAAGGCCATGGCCCCTAAGCCCCATTACTTAATATGACTAATAAAATGAAGCTGAGAACCTCTGGGGTTCATGAAGTGAGTCTGGGTATCTGTACACGGGCCCCTGGTGCCCCTTTCTCCACACCCACAGCATTGCAAAGACACGACTAAAAATGTCTTTCACTTGTGTGTTCCCCAGCTCCAGTCACCAGTTCTTTCCATAGGGGTGGGGCTGTAGCCGATGGTACAGAGTCCTGGATCCAGAGATAGGGGAGGGAGGCCGGAGCCCTG